TTTTCCTAAAGGTTTTTGAGGGGAAAACAAATCTGAAATCACATCAAACTGCTGTTTTCATCTGTTCTGTGCTGCTGTATTTTCACCTGGCCTCTTGTTCTTCAGCTTCAAACATGCACACTTAATGAAGCTTTCATCTGCATTGGCTAAGGAGACTAAGGGTACATTAGACTGAAATACCCGAGCTTTCTCTCTGTTTTTTTTTGTGAACACAAAGTTTTTGCTAGAAGGTCTCTGCAATGGAAAAAAGAGCCTATGGGTTGAAAACCTTTAGGTTTGTTGGTATTTTGTTCCTTTCTCACCACATTGCTTTACAATGTGTATTTTGCATTTACACAGTACTTTGGAGGTTCAGTCAAGGACCAGTCCACACTGTGCAAAGTATCCTGTAAATATAGGCAACCCCTTGCAGTTCTTGAGAAGGAAAACTGTTGATTTTTAGTGTAAAATGGTGCATCCAGGGTTTTTTTTTCTCTGTTTGATTTGAATGTGCATTTCCTAAAATGAAGAAAAGATTATTTTTCTTTAAAAAAGCACATGGTAGGGAAATGCCAGAAAGGCACCATGAAAATCCATGTTGGATCTTTTACGCTGCAGTGTGCTAGAGAGGTTTTTTTTACTATCAAGCATGAGACTGTTGTGGAAGAACTCATAGGTGTGCATTATCCTGTGCTCAACTACTGTTTTCAAGCATTTTTGCAAACATCCAGTTTTTTTCAGCCTCAAAATTCCTGTGGCCCAGATTGTGTTCTCTGTTCAGTGGAAGTACATTTTAATAATACCTTCCGTAGAGCCTTGTGTGGAAGAAGTTCTGTGACTGTAAAACAGTACTTTAATGTGGCAGCTCTAGCCTTGGATGCTAACGTTTATAGAAAATTACCATTCTTAATGTTCACAAAATCAGTTTTTCGTGTTAAGAAAACGTTTGTATTTAACTCCTCTAACATTGTGCTGCGAGTTAAATACAAATTATGAGAAGGAGCATGGCTACTTAAATATTGTAAAATGTGTCTTTAGTTCAGCAGTCTCTTTCTTTTTTTCCTAAAAGGAAATAATATTGCCAAAGAAATTGGATGTCGCTCTCTCTTTTGAAGCCAGCTGAAAAATAAAAAGAGAGGTGATTTTTTTCTTTTCTGCTCTATTTAAATCTGGCCTCTTCTTTGAGAGAAACACACATGCAGAAGTGGGAAAGGGGAATGCACTGCCTGGGCAGAGTTTGATAAGCATTAAAACAACCTTTGCCTTTGGACCCTTTTGGTGTAATGGTGGAAGGATCTCAACGTGTGTTCTGGAGCAATGTCATTGCCTGGTGATGTAAGGATTTATCTCTGCACCTAGTCACTAACAGGTTTTGTAGAGGTGACCAGGAGGGAAATCACTGAAGGAGTTAAGTTATGGCTGGCACAGACAACACAAAAAAGGTCTATCAGTTGAAAAGCTTTCCATAGTTTATCTGTAAGACATGTGGCTTTGGTTTAGTTTTATAAACGACAGTTGTAACAAATGCACTAGGGTTGAATGCATTTCTACCAAGCAGATTCTCGCATAAATGAAAGTAACGAGGTCCGAAAGGAATAAATAGTATGGTGTCAGATAGAAGGGCCTTTGTCATAAATGTGTGTAAACCTGCAGCCACCTGAGCAGTAAGGTAGAGCAGCTTCATGGTGTTACTGCATGGCATCTTTTAAAACCTACAGGAATGAAGGGCTTTGGGGTCTTTCATAAGTTACAGTTTTCATTTCTTGGAGTGGAAAATATGCATCCATTTGAATAGTGGTAATTACAGAAGAATGCCAGTTTCCTCACTCAGATTCACATTGGGCAGTAGCTGCATGAACACATGCAGTGCTGTGCTGGCAACAGGAGTTGCAGTAGTGTTTGTTGGGTGTTTGTCAAAAAATCCCATCTCAGTTTATTGTTCTTACTACACACATCAGTTTCAGCTTAACATGCAAAGGTACTGTGATGGTTTATGTTGTTGTATGGTGGGTTTTTTTTCCCCTGGCATAAGTCTTCATACTAAAAAAGCCACTAGTGGGTGTAGAAAATACAATGTAGTAATACCGTATGGGTTAATAGCTGCTGTGGTGGTGTTCACCTAACATTTTTGGGGGTTTATTTTTTGTTTTCTTGTTTTGATTTTCTTTGATCAGTAAGCACCTGGGTGGTATTCTAGAAACTGGTCTTATGTGTGGTGTCAATCTGTATATGCACGTTAACTTAAGCACCAATACTACATGCGAGATTACGTACGTTTGGCTTTGTCCATGCAGGTTGTAAAATGCACGTGGGTTCTATTCTGTAAAAACAAACTATGTAAAAAAAATTACAAACAAAAATAAGGTATCAGAAGAGCTGTATATGTATATGAGTCAGTGTATTATATCATAGAATCATAGAATGGTTTGGGTTGGAAGGCACCTTAAAGATTATCTAGTTCTAACCCTCTGACATGGGTAAGGATGCCTTCCACTAGACCAGGTTGCTCAAAACCCCATTCAACCTGGCCTTGAACACTTTCAGGGATGCAGCTTCACTGAGCAACCTGTCCAGTGCCTCACCACCCTCATAGTTAAGAATTTTTTCCTGATGTCTAATCTAAAACTATCCTCTTAGGTTTTAAAACTATTCCCTCTTGTCCTATCCCTGCAAGCCCTTATGAAAAGTCCCTCTCCAGTTTCTTGTAGCCTCCCTTTAGGCACTGGAAGCTGCTCTAAGGTCTCCCCAGAGCCTTCTCTTCTGCAGGCTGCAGAACCCCAACTCTCTCAGCCTGTCTTCGTAGGAGAGGTGCTCCAGCCCTCTGTTTAGTGGCCAGTAAATTCCCAGTTTTCAATTACAGCAGGAAATACTGTGAAGTAGGAAATACCTGGATCAGAGGTCTTTCCTGTACTGAGAATTCCAGAGCTGGATGCAATACTTCAAGCGGGGTCTCACAAGAGCAGAGTAGAGGGGAAGAATCACCTCCCTCGACTTGCTGGTCACACTCTTTTTGATGCAGTCCAGCATACAGTTGACTTTCTGGGCTGCAAGTGCACGCTGCCAGCTCATGTTGAGCTTCTCATCAGCAAAACAATTATACGTACTTGTCATCTCTTGAAGAATGCCCATTGAAATAAAATCTTTTTAATCATTAGTATTACTGCTTAATCTGTCTCAATAGTTCTTTTCATTTGATTGACAATTAGCAAATTAATGGGAAATAACAGTTAATGCCATGTTCAGCTTCAGGAGTCAAAGCTGTTCCGAAGTTAATTTTTTTGCCTTGATGTCAGAAATACATGAAATACAGGGGAAAAGGTTGTAGGGGATTGCACTCTTAGGTGTTTTTTATTGTTGTTTGTCTTGTTGAAAAAGATTTTGTAATTTGTGCTGTTTTTTCTACTTTAGATCTAGTATCACTTGGAAATGTAACACTGAAGGGAATATCGTGGATCGCAAGATCTTGTCCATAGCTGTTACAGGCAACCATGTCATATAATCCCATTCATAAACTGATCATACCCCAACAGAACAGCAGTTGGTTTTTGTCCTCACCGCTACGTATGTGTTGCCCTGTAACTGCAGGTGAAAACAGTGTTCTGATTTCCAGCCATAGTGTGCTCGTGACCATTTTATAGACATTTCTTTCGGCTGTCAGCAGTGAGCTGCACAGCAAGGCAGAATTTAAGAAAACACTGTCAGCTCCATCTCATTTTTCATCTAAGACAATTAAGCTTTTTTAAGACCCATTCTTCCCTGCAGCTTATCACTAAGTTCCTTGGCATGTTGTGTTCTGCACGTAATAGCTGGTATGCGGCTAGTCTCCCTGGACGTTAACAGTTTCAGCCCTGCCAAAGCTCCAAATGGCACAAGTCTTCCTGAAACCACTCAGCAGTCACTTTTGTTTTCTCCCCAGATAGGGCAAGGTCTCCTAACAATGTTTAAGTGGTTTGCATGTTCCTTCCTCCCAGCTGCTTGTGGGACAGAGCATAGCAGGGCACACTGCACCATGTTGATCCTGCTTCGAGCACATATCTGCCGGGTTATCTATTTCCTCTCCTGTTTTTCCAAAACGGATAAAAACAAATGCATCTTGGCGAGTTGCTATGTACGTATGCACAAGCACATTAAAGGACTTCTTTGTGAGCAGCAAGTGGCACAGTGTTACTTGCTGTCAATGAAGGTGACTGCACTGCTAACTCATTAGTTTCTAACTAGAGGTCAAGAGCTTAAATTGTGTGTAGCATAAATATACTTGTTTGTACTGTATGTGATTTATGAATTGGAGAGATGTCAGGTTCTAACCAAAAACAATTTGTTCTAGCTGATCCCTAAACTGTAACTGATTGTTCTGATACAAAGAAAGCCTCAACTTTGAATGCATTAAGATTGGCTGTTATGGTATTTAGCACGAATGTTCAGGCTTTTTTCTTACAGTAGTTTTTATAGAGTATGCAGTCTTTGCTGAAAGTAATGTGTGCATTTAATTTGCAGGAAAGTTGGGGACAGTGACTTCTAGATACAAATTTCTGATTGCAGAAATGTTTTTCATCCACATGAGGAGTTGAATGCAGCAGCAATCTTGGACCGTGTAATACTTTCAATAACAAATATAAAATCTGTGGTCATAACTCAGTGATCTTATAATATTTAAGAGAAAATTATGGCATTTCCATCAGATGTTAGTGTTAAACCAAGAATTCTTAAAAATGAAATCTGCATCTTTACTGAAATAGGAAGGTCAGCTGGTTAAAGAAGAGGAGCTACACTACTGCACACTTGCTAACACAGTAATTTGGCTTAATATATCAAAGGGAATTAAGCACGGCAAAATATCTTTTACGTGTTAATGTAGTAAGAAATAATACACTTGTAATCTGTTTTTCAATGGCTCCACTTTAGATTCCTCAGTTAAGCATCTCCTAAATAAGTTGGTATTTGACTTACTAGTTGTTATCTGTAAGCTTATAAGTACTCAGTTTGTTACTTGCTCTTTTATATTTATTATTTCTTATATACAGGATGTGAATGAAGACCCTGGAGAAGATGTTGCACTTCTCTCAGTTAGTTTTGAGGATGCAGAAGCCACTCAGGTTTTTCCTAAGCTGTACCTCTCCCCGCGTATTGAACAGTGAGTGAGACTGTTTCTTCTCGAGTGTTTGTTCCACTTCATCTCTGAACTTACCATTTTTCCTGGTATATGTGAGAAATGTTGGCTAGGTGATAACATGCTGTTGCTTTAAATCGCTTAGAGTCATAGTGATGACCTCAAGTGTGTGTCTGGTGTAGAAATGACACATCTTTCAGCTAGTTCTGCATCTGTGGCTGGACCACATCTGAATGAGGAAGAGGCATCACTGGCTACATGCAATATTCTTGTAGCATCATAATCTATGAAAACTATGCTGTGTTGTAGTAGATATTTTGAGTGCCTGCTGTGGTACAGCACACTGATACCTTTTTTTGTGGAGGAATCTTTTATTTCTTTTGGGAAGATGTTATCTGTATGAATATAATACATTTGAATGAAGTATTGTGGAAGCTAAACGGCTTTATTAACTGTGATTTAGGATTTTGCAGCTTTAGTAAGTTATGTTTTTCAGGAGAATATCAGAATATTTCATTTAAAGATTGTTGAACATTACTGATCTGTTTACCAGTTGGCAAACAGATTTGTTGAGAAATGGATTTCTGCTCCTAAAATGGAAGAGTGAGGATTGGAAATCGGTCTGCTTTCATTGAATTTCTCTTCTTCCATTTCTGGAATTAAAAATATTTTAATACTTCTCCTTCTCCTCCGTATTTTAGTCTTGTAATGTCTGCTTCAAAAATGTCACTACGTTAGACTGTTCAGATATACAACAGTCACACTGGTCTAGCATTGTTTCAGTGATGCTTTGTTTTTATGGTTACTACTGGAGTGACTTTCCTCTGAACCTCTGGTAACACTTCTGGGTAGAGAAGAAAAGATGGGAAATACTGACTCCCACAGTTTTATAATGACTCAGTGATAAAGCTTGTGTGAGTGATGGAACGTGGTATCTTGATATTCTGCTCAATGGGGCATTGGCCTTGGTAACATGTCGGATGCAATTTAGAGAAAAAACAAAAACCAGGATTTCATTTCGATAAAGACGTAAGACTTCCCAGGTATTTTACTTAAGGAAATGTAGGTTACACATCCACATGCAATCACACACATGATCCATTTGGCAGCTGTTACCTCTTCATATTTTATATCAACTCACTACTTCCTGTCAACATTAGTTGAGTGAATAATTGTAGTCAAACATGTCATTATCATTCTGTGTTCCAAAGAATTCTGCTCAGCTGCTGTTAAGTGCTGCCACTAGTTTCCATTGTATTTTCAGATGTACTCACCTATTGATTCTTAAGGTATTTCAGACTACCTGGTTAAGTCTCTCTAAATGACCCATTTGCTAATGAGTACATTGCTTATTTTCCTGCTTTCAAAAGTGTCTTAGAAGGGTGTTAAGCTCTTGATACCAGGCAGAATAGCAATACAAAGGAACATTTTGTCTTCCTCATTTTGTGTCAGTGCCCCAAAGAATATCTGATTTTAGAGGTGTGATGTAGAGCGATATAGCAGAAAGATATCTGAGTGGTGTTGGTACGTATCTGACATATTTATGACTTTGTCATTTATAGCTTATGTAGTCATGTTAGAATCATGCCAGTAAACCCTGGAGTTAGTTCCACACCAGATCTTGTCACGTTATCTGTGTATCAGAGTTGAGATAATTCACTCCTCTAACTCAATTTGTCCTCATGTATTTGTAAGGTATTCATCACAGTATTCAGATACTGGTAACCTAACATACCAGAGTTGCTTGCGAGTTGTTGCACCTTCCTTTATTCTACTGGCTACTTCTTATGTGCCCTGAAAAAAAATAGATGGGTATGTTTCCGTGTTTGTTCAGTTGCACTTTATAACAAAGATCTAGCTGTCTCTTGTTCTTTTCCAAAACCAATCTCTGCTCTGTTTAGCAGGGGCTGACAGTTTAGATATTTAACTTCCCAATGTTTGGGAACTGAAGCAACAATGTGTACTTCTTTATACTTTTTGCCAAAAGTACAAAAAGCCTCAAGGAGCCCTGAGGATTAGTTTAATGACTTGAGGCCGTGGCATGTTACATTTGAATTGTGTTCTGCTTATAAAAGGTCTTTCCTGCTGCTAACAGTAATTGCATCTACAAAAGCCATGTAAGCAAATTACCAGTGTATTTTTTTATGTAGCAGATTCTGAGGTGGAGTAAGTAATAGTTGACAGTTCCCAGCATAACATTCCCAAGTACTCAACAAAACAGGAAAAATACCAAATTCCCACAATTATTTTGCTAATACTAAACTCAATTCACCTTAGGAAGAACAAGCAAACAGGAATAACATTTTCCTGACGTATGAAAAAACATGTTCAGATAGAAATGTTTCAGCTTTGTAGAGAAATAAGAGCAAAGGGCCTGTTTGTGTAACGTGAGTTATCTCCTGCTTTCCCAAGAGGTTTCATTGCTTTTGTGTTTTACCATATAAACATGCATTCCCACATTGCTTTTTCTAAGAATGCAGTACCCACAGATCTGGTCAGTGAATTTGAGCCCTAGCAGTATGAATACATTGGGTTTGCTTTCAAGGGTTGTTGTAAAGCATGTTTGCTCTATTTTTAGGTGGATGATAAGCATAATACTAGTAAGACTTTGGTCTTTGTCATAGATTCTGGAAGAGAGCTTTGCAAAGTGGAGAAAATGTTCACTTTTTAATGGTTTGGGGCTAAGATATTAGTACATCGGTGGGCTTGAAAAAGCTCACGTATTAGAACAGGAGGTAAAAATGCAGTAGAGAAGTATTGTGGCTCATTCAAGGCAATATTGGTGTGGTGTGGTGTCTAGCTGCAAGAGTGTTAAGCCCAGTTCTTATAGTCAAAAAACAACCCCATGCTTAGGGATGGGAAGCATTTGTGTTAGCTTATAAAAATCCCAGCAGTAATTGGTCATAACTATACCTCGTTTAATTCTTTAATTAAAATCTGCTAATTTAAAAATACTCCTTTAAATATTACTTGTTCAAAACACATTAACCACAATTTCTAGTTAATGGTTCCTTAAGTTGAAATCAAACATTTTAAAAAAGCTTTCATTTTATAATTTTAAGAATTCTTCCTTATTGCACTGCATCAATAAGCAGGTAGATGCCAACAGCAGCCACTTCTAATGATTTTGAATGTTAGATTAAGTTAAAATGAAATGTGGGGTATTTACGTTATGTGTTTTGTTTAAAAAGTACCATTATAACTGTAGCATCATAAAAACAAGTTTCCGCACACTTCTGGAGGAAGTGGCAAGATGGGAAAACCCCACAGACTGACCACCCAACTAGAGAAGATGGTGATTGTCAGCATCCGTAAGCATGTGTCCGCAGCTCGGCCTGCTCCTCCTCCCACCGTGGGGCTGCAGGCTGTTCTTGAACCCCTGCTCATGGCTGCTGTGCTTTGGGGAGCGGGTCAGAGAGCTGAGCAGTGCCAGGACCTGCAGCCCCTCACTCGCCCATCCACCTGACCTCCTCCTACTGCTAGGTAGGCACAGGCATTCTGAGGCTGCTTCTGCACGGCAGGGAGCTGCTGGGTTATTTACCCCTTATGGCTCTGTCACGTTTCTCTAAACCTGTCAGTAGAAAGCATCTTGATGACTCAAAATTATCTTTGTAGTGAAAGTATACTAGACATTCATATGGAAAGGAAATTTGTAATGAAAATACCCATCATATCTTTGGTTTCCATTTATTAAGAATCACTAGATTCTAAATCCAAGCAGTCAGGGCAAGATCGAACAGCTGATTTCTATATTAACGCTTAAAATGTGTGTCAGCATAGCGCACACGGATGTGGATCAGAAGTTTTGTAGGTTGGGGTTTTTAAAGAAAAAATTCAATGTGTGCATTTTTCTCCTGTATGAGTTGTCCATGCTAAAGAAAATAAGAACGGGTTTGTCTTGCTTCACGTCTTACGAAAAGAAGATATTGGGGTAGAAACACTGCTGCTCAGTGAATGCTATGTTCCTTGGATTCACAAAAATAATCTTGCAATAAACACTGTTGTCCTGGAGGGCTTTTTTCTGATAAATATGTGGACATGAATATGCTAAGAAAACCAGCTGTCAGTAGAACTTGTTTTGCTTAAATGGATCAGGCTCCATGCTCTGGGGACCGAAATGGTCGTTTTTTACTGGTCTGGGAGTTGTGCCAGAGGGTTCTTCGTGACTGAGGGTGGTATGCAGAGTTCGGTGACTGCGTTTAACCTTCTCTTATGGGCAGGGGAGAATAACAAGAACCTGATCTGAACTCTTAGACTTTGAATGTTTCTGTATGTTTTTCACCAGTGAAAGAAAAGTAGAATAGAAAATTAAACACATGTATTTGCTTTAAGGTGTTATCTTTTACCTGTCCTTTCTGCTGGGAGCTGGGAGGAGGAAAACCACAGAATATTATCCAGTACTGCCAGGCACCACCTCTCACTATGTTTGAGGTACGGGGGTGCCGTGAAGGGCTTTGCCTTTCAAATTGGCATGCCATACTGCTGAGCGTACATCACTGGTTGAAGCCTGCTGTTTCAGAATGATTATGAATACACAGTCTTTAAATGAGTGGTCATGCTCTAGGCCTTTTTATGTGTCTGTCTTTGTAGACGGCAGAAGTAAGACGTTTTTCTGTTTGACATATTAAAATGGGCATATTCATCCGAGCTGATGTTTTCAGGAGAATTGTTAATAGGTAGCTAAGACAGCCCATGACTTCTTAAAATCCCAGAGCATCTTAGCAGACATGGGAAGCAGGAGTGACGGTTGTTTTTCAGGGCTTTCTCTTCCAGTAAAAGCCTAGTTTGGTCATGCCTCTAAGCAATGCCTGGCCAGTGAATCAGTGATAACTCCTGCCTGCTGTATATGCCATGTCCCTGTCATCTAAGTCTTCTGAAAATGTAGACAGTACAGGGCTAGTTTCTAGTTAGTTCTGCTTTGCAGTTCTTCCTGTGTCCTAAAAATCATGTTTTGCTGTAGCCACCTTTTGATGGCTTGTTGACAGCTTCAGAAGAGATCAGGGTAGACTGGGGTTGACAGTCAA